TTTTAAAAATTTTTAAATGTTTGTTTATTTTTGAGAGAGAGCACGAGCAGGGGAGAAGCAGAGAGAGGGAGACACAGAATCTGAAGCAGGCTCCAAGCTCTGAGCTGTCAGCACAGAGCCTGATGCAGAGCTCGAACTCACAAACTGCGAGATCATGACCCAAGTCAAAGTCGGACACTTAACTGACTGAGCCACCCAGACACCCCTATATATAATTCATGTTTATATCAGCGTATTTGTTCAGAAGCAGCTGATTCAGTTAAATCAGCGTATTTGTTCAGAAGCAGTTAATGGGTGATCTTTGTGTTTCAAGCATTTTGTAGGGGCTTATTCAAAATATATAAAACCTACCCTGCATATAAACAGTTTCTAAAATATGTTTACTTATTACCAAAATGTACTTGCTTATGGATTGTTTAAAATGCTAATGAAATACAAGCTTATAAAATGTTTGAAATGTTAAGATGAATTAACTGATTAGTTATTTATTTATTTTCGTTTTCTTCAGTTGAGTCAAATGAAGAAAAGCATAAAGAACTGATAGAGAAAAAGGAGGTGGAAATTTCAGAGTTAAATGCAAAGTTAAAAACTCAAGAAAAGGAAAAACAAAGTGAAATAATCAAATTACAGCTCGAGGTAAGTGTTTAAGGGTCTGCTAAATTTGAAGATGCATCCCTCAAGTCTAGATTGAATTTTGGTTATTTTTCATCACAGTGAGATAAGCTTCAGGTATAGAAACAACCCCGACACACTCATTCTCCGTCACGTGCAGTTCTCAAACACCAGACCACGCTAGCTACGCTATCTTGCAGCATTTGGCTGGAAGGTGGGATTCTTCAGTCGTTCAAAAGGTCCTGGTTTCCAGAGAGGGTACTGTTTACTCTGAGACTGGAGATCGATAATTCAAGGATTACCCACACTTTGTAGCTGAGTCTATGCAAGCTTCATAGGACTACCATTCCAGCAGTGGGGAGAGTGTATCTAATCGTTAACATTTTTCTCTCCTCAGCAGAAATTGTGGAACCCTGGTAAACCAATAGAAATTCCTTCAACTTTTATTAAAAAGAGGCAGGTTGCTCCCTAATAAATGTGTGGACAATACATATCAGAAGGGCAGACAGACTAGATGTTTAAAAAAATGTTAAAGGTGTTGTATGGAAACCAATTTGACAATAAATTGTATTTAAAAAATAATAATAATAAAAATAAATTTAAAAAATAAATAAATGTCAAAGGGACCTTACATAGGGCATCTCAAAGGCTGCAGTTCTAGTTCTAGGCTCTAAAGCCTTTTCAGTAGGTTGTTTAACCAGATGTCAGAATCTCAGAGACATTGATGTTTTGACAATATATTTGTTCTTTAAAATTTTTTTCTAGATGCTACCCATCTCCATTTCCATCAGTCTTCCATTGCTTTTCCCCAGTCTGACTCCCACCTTACTTTATGTTGTCAGAATTCCCCAGTTTAGTTATTAAAGATAACTTACTATTCACGTTCATGGATGTTTGGTATCTCTGGGGTGTTTGGTGAGGTTCAGTGTTGAAATCTGTATAATCTTTGAGCAAAAGGGAACTGATGTTGACTTGAGAGGCATTTTGCTGCTGCTACTGTCTCTGGTCAAGTGTGCCCACAACCCACAGAGAGGTCTGGATAGCCAACTGAGAAACAATAAGCCATGTTTCAGGTTCTACCATCAACTTCTAATCCATTGATTGCAAATGTGCATCTTGTTTGCCATCTGTGCCCTGTCTCTCTGGTGGAGCCCAAATCTGTGGTTTACACTGATGCACACAACTCTTTTTGTTCCTCGTCTTCATTGTAGCTATCCATTTTCCTCCTCAAACCAGAACACAATCTCACAGAGTTTGTTTTTAGACCACAGAGAGGCTACACTGAACTCAACCCGAAGGGAAGAATTATAATGAAAGATTTTGCAAAAAATATATGTATATATGACCTGTAAGAATGACTTATGAGAATTTTTTAAACCTGATTCAGTTTAATGTCAAAAGAGTTCAGACTGAATCAACAAAATTATATCCAGATTCTACCACTTAGTCTCAAAGTTTTTACAGTAGAGTATGTGAGTTTTTATCCCATGACTGTTGACTATACTACATTTCTTTACAAAAGGATACTCACAGTAATGTGAAAATATTTTTATCCATCTTTAACTAGATTCTCAACCCTAGTTATCTAGATTCTTTGCCTTGCATGATAGAATCATCTATCATCTATCTTTTTAATGTCTTAAAAAGATAATGCTGACTCCATCCCAGAATCTCTAAGGTAGTGCCCAGGTATTTGGTACTTTTAAAAAGCTCCCCAGGAAATTTTAACATGGAGCAAGGTTAATCTTGTTTGGGTGTTCCTTGCTCTTTCTTAAAAACTGTTTCTTAAAGAAAAACTTCTCTATATTGTATTGTACAGAGAATATACTTAAATTAGAGATTACATGTTAAAAGATATAATGGATTATACTTATATTTATAGAAGCAATTGTTTAACTAGAATGTTCTCAATGACTTTCTTTTTAAACTTGATTCAGTTTGATGCCAAACTAGCAAGAGTTCAAACTAAATCAAAATCCTATGCAGATTCTACTGTTTTGCCACAGAGTATCTACAGAAGGGTATGTGAGATTTTTTTCCATAGCCATTGTGTAAGAAAATAAACGTTCTCAGTGTGTTTCTATAAAAGCTATCTAGTATTTACTAACAATATACTTAACAGTTTTTCTTAAAATATATCACACAACCAGAAAGATACTAGGTCTTGAATAATATTTAAAAGTCACTTTCAATTTAAAATAGTAAATCTTAGGGGTGCCCGGGTGGCTCAGTCAGTTAAGTGTCCAACTTCAGCTCAGGTCATGATCTCGTAGTTCACGAGTTTGAGCCTCTCTCTCCTCCTCTCTCCCTCTCTCTCTCAAAAATAAATAAAACTTTAAAAAATTTAAAGACCTAGTAAATCTTAGCAGTAAATTAAAACGTTAGAGAAGTCCTCTGATCTTTGGTCATGTAAGGAATTCCATGATCTGTTCTGAACTAAGGCTGACCTACTATTCTGAAGTTATTTAGGCACTTAGGTAATATATTTTTTTTATTGTTCAACTCCTACTTTATGATTCAGAACTTCAAGCTATATACAAAAAAGAGAATAAACTAAAACAAATGGTGCTAAAACGTGTTTTAATATCCTTATTCCAGTTGTACCCCATATGCCTCATAAAAATAAAATCATAAACCTTTCAAAACAAGCTTTTTTAATCTACTTAAACCAGAAATGTAGTTTTTGTTGTTTTATTGCTTCTTGTATTTAATCTTACTATTTCTGAATTGCAATAACAAATGTTTTGCTGCTTTATTTAGAAGCTTCAACATCTTCAAGAAGAAAAAAACAAGGAGATTGCAGTTCTTCGTAATACCATTCGCAATTTAGAGCAACGTCTGTCTGTTGACAAAGATTCTCAACTTAAACCTTTTGACAAAGGTTCTTGCCCTAAGCGTAGACGGTTTTGAGTATGACAGTAAATTCATTAGTTGCTACTTAATTTCTTTAAAAGCAGTTGAAAATGCCACTTCTGTCATTAATATAACATACTACCTAAATAATAACAATGAAAAAAAGATCGCTTTAAACATTTTAAATTGAGTTTATTTAAACAAATCCACATTTGGCCAACTGTGTGTACCACATTCTTGCTTAATAGTATTAACCATAGAGGAGTTCAGGTTTATAGCACGTAGTTTACCTATTGAACCATCATTGACTATGGAAATACTTTCTAAGCAATCAAGAGACAGACAACATTCATTTACCTTCTCCATTACATCTTTCAAGACAGACTATCTCAAATTTTAAACAGTATGATATAATGCTAGATAAAGAAAATAAGAGTTTCATTCATATGTGATAGTAAAAATCAAGACTATGACTCTTAGACATACAAAGTATAAATGGATATTTAAAATGTAGTCACAGCAAAATATTCATGTGTCAGTATTTCTGGAACCTGAAAGAATTATAAAGGCAGTTCTTTATAAGATTTAATCAGTTAAAAATGTAAGATTAAAAAGACAAGTATTTTTTTGAGAAATAAGTAAAGAAAAAAATGGAAAACATGTCTTTGTTGTTCTTTCTCCATTCTAAATTGCTAACTATCCAACAGAAACCCCTAGGTCATAGTTTATGTCTCTGTTCTCATTAATACAAGTAGAATGCTGGAAAAAGAAAAAGAAAAACATATTAACCAAGTGCTGCAATCACCTTTATAATAAAATAATAAAAATTTGGTTTAGGTCAAAATTTCTTTGACTTAAATTTTAAAATTTGGGAGCCAATATAATAGATTTCCCCGTGTTTTGTACAAATCCAATTCTTAGTTTTAGATCATTGTTAATTAGGTAGCATATAAAAATGCTGGAAACGAAATTGTCTAGACTGACTTGGGGAGTAAAATCCTATTTAAAATATTTAGTATGAAGGTCATTTTCACATTTTGGCCTTATTTTCTCAGCTTCAATTGGTGCTGGCCTCTGTGGGCTTGGGCTGCTGAATTGCGTGTCAGGCAGCAGGAGGTAAACGTCACTGTCAAGATTCAATGACGTTCTCCTCCGCCCAGAGTCCCTGTCAGCTACATAAAGAGGGGAGGTTTTCTTTACATTGTCAGGTGATTGCAGACCCTGTTTTTTCAAATATCAGATGTCGTCAGTGTCAGCATCAGCTGCTAGGAGCCAACTCTGAATCTTTGGGCAATTTGCAGTGTAATTGATTTATACATCCCTTTCGTCAGAGCTTCTTTGGTGGGACAGAAAGTTGTAAACTTTCACTGCCTGCTGGCATATCTCAGTCCTCTGGATGGCCCTGTCTTTGGTGGTCCTTGTGCTTGTGGTGGTTATGAGGGACTTGAGAAGAGGGGTGCCCAGGGACATCTGGTGTTTCTGGTTGCTGGTTCTCTGCAAGTTCACCATTCCCATGATGCTGATGCCCATGCTCATGATTATGATGGTGATGATGGTGGTGATGGTCGTGGTGGTGATGTGGCTGTGGAGCCTCAGTTGTATTTCCCACGGTAGCTGAAGATACAATTTTACAGAAGTCCTCATCTTCCGGTGTCTAGAACAAATTTATGAATCATTTTCAACAAATTTGTAGATTTAGGAGCTGTGCACAAAAAATTATTTATAAAGCTAACATATATAAAATTCAAAGTAATTAGGATTAAACTGGCTTTGTTTTTCTAGCATCATGTTAATGAGATAAAATTTTGATGTTTCAACACCCAGACTTTTTATTAAAATTTGGTTCCAATCATACATAATTATAAAGTTCTTCTTGTGCAAAGTTTGCATTTAATCAGAGAATCCTCAAGCATCTTCCAAAGGAATTAACATTAATGTTTTGCAAATAGATAAAACAAAGCACAAGACAATTAAAATTCAGCAGTTCAGGGGCGCCTGGGTGGCTCAGTCGGTTAAGCGGCCGACTTCGGCTCAGGTCATGATCTCACAGTCCGTGAGTTCGAGCCCCGCGTCGGGCTCTGTGCTGACAGCTCAGAGCCTGAAGCCTGTTTCAGATTCTGTGTCTCCCTCTCTCTGACCCTCCCCTGTTCATGCTCTGTCTCTCCCTGTCTCAAAAATAAATAAAAATGTTTAAAAAAAAATTTTTTTTAATAAATAAATAAATAAAATTCAGTAGTTCGCCTAAGCTTCTATACTGGTTAAATCAATAGCAGAATTCAAATTTTCCTTTTCTTATCAAGAGCATTTCCCTGATTTTTAAGAACCCTGAAGAAGAATTTAAGAGATACAGAAGGCTTAAAAAGAAAGCCAAACCACTATATTTACATCTGCAGAATCAAAACTAAATAAACTGGTTAAAAGAACTTACATCGATTGCAGTAAAGTCAAACAAATATCAAATCCTAAAAGCAGCTGAACTATATGGATACTTCTAATATTATATTCATACTTAATGTTCTATTCTGAAGCAAACTAATTTCTGCTAATTCAAAAATGCCAATAAACTCTGCTGAAAATCAGTTTTTCACGCCTCAGCTTATGCCAGGAAATGTTTTGAACTTCACCATTCACCAGTCTTGTTACTGTGTCCCTACTGTTGAGCTGGCAGCTGCAAGTAGCAAATTACCGCCCATCTTCCATTGGGCATACAATCCCATTCTGCCTCAATCTAGTTAATTTGCTGCCAAGTCTTTATTGTCTTGTGTGCCTACGAATATAAGCTCAAAGCTTATAGATATCGCAATATCATATGAAACTTTTACCCTAAAGTGATTTATAAATTTAGTGAGTCTTTTTCATCTCTCAAACTGATTTTCTAAGTGGTATGGTTCTGTGTTTTGAAAGGTTAAAAATTCCATGGATTTTTGCATACAACTATTAAGTGGTACAGTTTTTGGTTATTTCTGAATTACTTTTGAGAATTTCATGCTATTTTTTAAGCTTTTCTTCAAATTCCTATTAATTAACATACAGTGTAATATTAGTTTCAGGTGTACACTATAGTGATTCAACACTTCTGCACATCATCTGATGCTCATGACAAGTGCACTCCTCAATCCCCATCACCTATTTACCCTAGTCCCCTTGCCCGCCTCCCCTCCCGCAACCCTCAGTTTGTTGTCCGTAATTAAGAATCTGTTTTTTGGTTTGCCTCTCTTTTTTATCCCTGTGAGTTCATTTGTTTTTTTCTTAAATTTCACATATGAGTGAAATCATATGGCATTTGTCTTTCTCGGACTTATTTCACTTAGCATAATACTCTTTAGCTCTATCCACATCCATAGCAAATGGCAAGATCTCATTCTTTTTTATGGCTGAGTAATATTCCATTGTATATACACCACATCTTCATCCATTCACCAATCAGCGGACACTTGGGCCGTTCCCATAATTTGGCTATTGCGTACAATGCTGCTATAAACATCAGGGTGCACGTATCCTCTTGAATTAGTACTAATACTAGTACTACCTAGTAGCACAATTGCTGGGTCATAGGGTAGTTCTATCTTTAACTTTCCGAGGAACTTCCATACTGTTTTCCAGAGTGGCCGCACCAGTTTGCCTTCCCACCAACCGTATAAGATGGTTCCCCTTTGTTCACATCTTCACCAAGACCTGTTATTTCTTGTGTTGTTGATTTTAGCCCTTCTGACAAGTGTGAGGTGACATCTCATTGTAGTTTTGGTTTGTGTGTCCCTGATGATGAGTGATGCTGAGCATCTTTTCATGTGTCCGTTGACTATCTGTATGTCTTCTTTGGAAAAGTGTCTATTCATGTCTTCTGCCAAATTTTTAATTGAATTATTCTTTTTTTTTTTTTTGGTGATGAGTTTTAGACGTCCTTTATATATTTTGAATACTAACCCTTTATCGGATATGTCATTTGCAACTATTTTCTCCCATTCCACAGGATGCCTTTTAGTTTTGTCGCCTGTTTCCTTTTGAGTATTTAATGTTATTTGATTAAAAGCTTATAAACAACTTGACAAATGTTTAAAATATACTATGTAATGTTCTAAATGTTCAAAAGTTGACAGTAGCGGTCTCATTAGTTTCTGAAACGGATTACTAGGTTTTATTGATCCTACAAGGTATTTTTTTCACATTTTAATATCTTTAAAATCAGAATGCATCCTATTATTGATGGTGTTGTAAAAACAGTGTCCTACCTTAGCTGACAGCATTTTTAAAATAGTACATAAAATAATGTGTCCTACAATTGATGGCATCTAGGATACTATGAAAAAGGAAAACTCCAATTTGATTTGGCACATCAGATATATATGGTATATCCTATTTACAAGAGGTTCATAAATTTTAAGCATGTTATGGGACTGTTTCTGCCTTTGTTTCAATATAACAGGGTATATTTATAACTATTAGGCATTTGCAAAAATGCAAAATAGTCCCAGAATATGAGGAATCAATACAACTAGCATTTATTACATACTTAGTAGAAGTCAGACATTGAGTTAATACTTTATTTGCATTACTTCAGTCTCCCCATCTTTAGAAAGAGTAGACAAAGCTTCATAGGATTATAATGAAGATTAAAATGTGAAAAATTATATAACTAGAGTAATTAACCTGTTGTGCTCCACAACAACTAAATTAATTAATTAAATAATTCATTACAAATCGAGATGGCTTCTTTACAACTGGAAAAATCTGAAGGATGTATAGCTCTCAAATAAAATTCAGAACTATTTTTAAACCTGAGTTCAAATTTTGCCAATTTTCCCTATTAAGGAAACATTGTTTGTAATTGTTTTCCTTTTCAATATGGGGAGGGGGGAGTCTAGTTAATATAAATTGAAATCAATTCCTTGAGTATCTTTTTATAAACAATACTGGAATGTAGAGCTTCTCATAAAAAGGAGTAAATATTCTCATGGTTGTTAGGAGAAAAATATCAGTAACAAGTAGAAAACTTATTCCACTGTGAAATAAATGCAGTAATTCTGACTGCAGAGTGGGCAGACAGTGTAAGGGCTTCATGGGAAAGCTGCAGTCTTAGATCTTTGATATCGTAAGTAACTATCTGGGCCTCAATTCCATTTCAGGTAATGCCATGAATAAGCTTTGCCATCACTATGCTCTCGTGTGAACACATTCAGGGTACTACAATAATATTTTATGTTGGCTGAATTCTTTAGGCATTTTGAACACACCCAACATCATTCGGTGGTATTTGAAATATGCCATCTATGTTGGTTTTTGTTTTATAAACTCCTTCTAGATAAAAGCAGCAATACAGATCTGGAAAAAATGTCTTACAGTGTATGTTACATAATAGGCAGTAATTATAAAAATCACTGTTGTTTATTTTTAGTATACCAACAGAAACATTGCTTAGCTAATTGGTCATGAAATATTAACTTATTTAGAGAACGCTTAAAAGACTTTCTCTTTTCTCCCAGGAGAAATAATTGAGAAAAATAAAATACCATGAGAGAGCAGTTTCCACATTTCTTTTCACAGTAAGCGATCTTAATGGCTTCTTCTACATATGGGAAAGTTAGGAAGGAGTAAGGCAAACCAAGATGGTATACAAGACGGCCACATCTAAAAAAAAAGGGCAAACATTACATTTATCATTACATATCATTACAATATTTTCTGTATCATGATCATACTCAAGCAGTTTGGGAAAGGTGCTATTGGTTTAATGGTCTTATAACTAAGACCCATTCACACCTCCAATAAACTTCCTTGAATGGGGTCTCACGTGAGCTCCCTGGCACCACATACCAGGTTAGGTCAGAGCAAGACTACCGGGAGTCTCATACCAGCATTTTGAAATCTTCTAGATATGCCACTATAAATGATATCAAAATACATAGTCAAGTCACTGTGACTTGGCCGAATACAATTTGGTATAGACTTATAAATTCTATGAATGCACAAACCACTACCTTACCATAAATCAGGCTCTGCAAATCACATGAGGTTTTCATAACTGCTATGGCAGCACAAATTTCACACAACAAAAAATTATAGTATCCTCAAGTCTTGGCCAATAGCCATTTAAAAATATGTCTGATTGGGGCACCTGGGTGGCTCAGTCGGTTAAGCATCCGACTTCGGCCAGGTCATGATCTCGCGGTCCGTGAGTTCGAGCCCCGCGTCAGGCTCTGTGCTGATGGCTCAGAGCCTGGAGCCTGTTTCAGATTCTGTGTCTCCCTCTCTCTCTGACCCTCCCCCATTCATGCTCTGTCTCTCTCTGTCTCAAAAATAAATAAACGTTAAAAAAAATTTTTTTAATAAAAATAAAAAATAAAAATAAAAATGTCTGATGCAACAAAAATTTCAGCATAATGAAAGAAATGGAATTATAATACTCAGCATTCTCAGAAATAGTGGAGTTGAAATGTCCTTCTTTCCCACATTTTTCCCAGGATATATAATATTATGTGACTATCAAAGAGCTACACTTTGCAACTGTCTAAATTAGAAGTCTGCAGTCCTAAAAGAGTATGTAATATTAAAAATATTTAGAGTAAGATGAAGTAGGGCTTAGGTCTAAGCAGAGTATGCCTCACCATTTCTGAAGAGTCAAAAGAAAACAGCACCAACTAAAAATGTTGGTAATATCAAATAATGTAAGCATGGAGGTTCCCTTAAGATACAAATGTTTTATTCATTCATGGAATCAAAAGCAGATTCATGCAGATTAGATCTAAATGATTAACACTTTATAGTTCAGAAATTCAGGTGTGTACCCTTTAAATTATTAATCAGATTAAAGATAAAAAAGTGGTCTGCAAAGTGTAGTTATTCTGCAAATTCTCAGGTTTGAATTGTACTTGATACACAAATTGATCCTTTTATTGAGGCAGAATGCTAATTTATTGGGGGGGGGGGATTATAGTCAATTTTCTGTATTTCCCTACTAGAATGGTGAGTTCTTTTGCACAGAAGAAAGTCAGTTTTGAGATAAAACATTAAAACCATTTTAATAGCTCACCTGAGTACTTGGTAATAAAACAAAAGAAGATGTCTTATTTTAAATCACTATTAAATTAAATGCTAAGAAGGCATCTTTTAATTTGGGTTGTGTGTGTGCATGTGTGTGTGTATACACACCTGTCATATACGAAGAAGTCATCTTTCTTCCCATTTAAGAGAGTCCAGACATCTGTTTCGTTTTCTTCTTGTTGATAAACAGGAATATGTTCTGAAACCTTATTTTTAAGATGCATGTATTTTAATCGAGAAGAGAGTCCTTGATGATTAACAACAACATAAGAGATGTTCAAATATCCTGCTTGCTCCAGTTTTACTCTCAGGTCTTCCAATCTAAAATATTTGGGAAAAATACAAAAA